TGTGTGTGTGTGTGTGTGTGTGTGTGTGTGTGTGTGTGTGTGTGTGTGTGTCTGTGTGTGTGTCTGTGTGTGTATGTGTGTTTATGAGCGTGTATGTTCCCCTCCGTGTGTGTGTGTGTGTGTGTGTGTGTGTGTGTGTGTGTGTGTGTCTGTGTGTCTGTGTGTGTGTCTGTGTGTGTATGTGTGTTTATGAGCGTGTATGTTCCCCTCCGTGTGTGTGTGTGTGTGTGTGTGTGTGTGTGTGTGTGTGTGTGTGTGTGTGTGTGTGTGTGTGTGTTTTGTGGGGCGGCACCTGCAACTCCTATCTCGTGCTGGCCTCACTCATAGCAGCGGGCCTGGATGGGGTAGAGAGACAGGTCAGGTGCTCACCTTATTGTGTGTGTTTGTTTGCGGGTGTGGGGTGTGTGTGGGGGGGGGATGTGTGTGTGTGTGTGTGTGTGTGTGTGTGTGTGTGTGTGTGTGAGGGGGGGTGTGTGTGTGTGTGTGTGGGTGTGTGTATGTGAGGGGGGAAGAGGGATGTGTGTGTGTGGCGGCGCCTGCAACTCCTATCTCGTGCTTGCCTCACTCATAGCTGCCGGCCTGGATGGGGTAGAGAAGCAGGTGCTCACCTTATAGTGTGTTCGTGTGGGGGGAATGTGTTTGTGTGTGTGCGTGTGTGTGTGTTTGTGTTTGTGTGTGTGTGTGTGTCTGTGTGTGTGTGTGTGTGTGTGTGTGTGTGTGTGTGTTTGTGGGGCGGCGCCTGCAACTCCTATCTTGTGCTGGCCTCACTCATAGCTGCCGGCCTGGATGGGGTAGAGAGACAGGTGCTATAGACTGAAGCGTCTTTAATTAGGCCATTCCCAAAGGGGGGACATTAACCATGTTCTTATGCACAGTAGAATTGTAATTGTAAATGTGCTGATTCATCAATGTCATGCTCACAACTGTGCCTGAACCGCAACAAGGATCTGGTGCTTTTTCTCTCCTATTCCTTACTATCGCCATTTCCCCTCTAGCTCTTTTGTACAGGTATGTTTTTCACACTCTTGTGACCGGCTATTTCCAGGGTGCCTTGATAGTCGATGTAGACGTTGTGCTGTAGAAGCTAGAGAGGTGAGCAGAGTAAGCCTGAGACCCTGACTGTAAGGACTTCTCTCTGTTGACATCCACCCCTTGGCGCTCATATGACCTTATGCTGTTGCAAACGCCGTAAACCCTCCACTACATCCAACAAAACTATTTTTAAAAACCTCCTCCTTTTCCTTACCGCAGCTGGAGATGCCTCGCGTGACCCCGCAGATACCACGTGACCTGAGGACGGCGCTGTCAGCCCTACAGGAGGACGCCGTGATGGTGCAAGCCCTGGGGCCAGACTTGGTCCAGCGGTTTGTCCACTGTAAGACCACTCACGAGATCCAAGTGCTTCAGACTCGCGTGGGTGACAGCCGGGAAGAAATCTTTGGCTGGGAGCGTGACATGTACTTTTCTCGTGTATAACATTAATTAACATACTCTTGTCTTGTTTTGTTTTACATTTCTCCACTTCTCCGTGTGTTTGTGTGTGAGTGTGTGTATTTGTGAGTGTGTGTGCGTGTGTGTGTGCGTGTGTGTGTGCGTATTGTGTGTGTGTGAGTGTGTGTGTGTGTGTATGTGTATGTTTCCCCGCACTCCTCCACTTTTTCTGATGGCCACCCTACTCCTTTCCCCCTTCTATCTATCTATCTATCTATCTATCTATCTATCTATCTATCTATCTATCTATCTACCCCCTCATTCTTCTGCAAACACGTGCACCCACACATTCTTCATCCACCCTCCATGCATTGTTTCTACGGATTTCAAATGTCCTCAGGCGTCTCTTTTTTTTTCTTTCAGTACCCATAATATGTAAAGTGATATTTCGAGAGAAGAGAAAAAAGCCTTTACATTCTGTCCTAATGCTAGATCTATACGGTACTTTTTGTGAATCTCTTTCTGTTCTGGAAGACTTTGTACTGTAACCAGACCGTTGATACTACGCTACCTGAAAATCGTCCTATATGAGCCAGTTCCACGTATCTGGGTTTTAGCGAATTTTGTATAAATGATCAACACTCTGGAAACGATCAAGACCTATACGCGTATCATACGCGATTGAAAAATTCTTGGCTTCACTGTCGATTAAGTATAATTCTTGTTGCGTCATCCAAGTTGTAACAATAATTAAATCCATTCCGCACATCTCAAGACGAGCTAATTTGGAAGCAAACAGCTATGATAAGTGAAACAGTTATTTGCTTTTCATAGCGATTTTAGGGCGGGGGACTCAAAGAAACTTAAACAGAAAAACGCGCTTTCGATTGGTGAAAAAAAAATGTTCTCGCCAAAAACCATGATTATACGGATCTGGCTTTTATAGGACGAAATAACAAAGTTCTCTGAATTTTTTTTTTGCCGTTTCGAGTTACCAAGACTATACGGTCAGAAACCAAATTTTGATATACTCTATCAAAATTGTAAGACTATTCGGAGTCGCTATCAAGATTTTCACAGAATTGCATTCGAAAAAGCTTGAATTGTGTGAAACTCAATTTTTTTTTTCTACATCTGATTTCTCAAAGCCAAGTGGTGAGCAGATAGAAGTTTGTAATCCTGAGGTATCGACAAAGTGTAGCTGTGTACAATAAATGTACATGGATTACTCCCCTTTCTGCGTTGTTTAGATCTTTGTAAATATGGCACTGGTATATGTGCATACGTTAGTTTTGTGTGTGTGTGTATGTGTGTGTGTATGTTTGTTTGTATGTGTGTGTGTGTGTGTGTGTGTGTGTGTGTGTGTGTGTGAGGCAGAGTGGTGGAATCAGGCTCTCGTCAAAATAATCAAAGTGAAGAAACTTGCCTTTCTCCGCAGGTTTGTGGATTTTTATTAATTTTTTGTTTTTTTGGCACAACACCTTTCATGCCCATTAAAGAACTCATTTCTGCGTGGATTTTTATGAAAAACATTGAAGGCACAGAAAACGTAAATTTGCAGTTACCACGGACTCTTAAGCTTTGGGAATGATTAACCTTTGGCGGCCATTTTCTCACTAATTTTACCGCTGAAAACAGGTGACCCCCACCTCCTTGTTTCGTAAATATCTTGACTAGTATTCAAGATAATTGGATACTTTTTTCATCCAAATAAAGACAAGTGAACAAGCTTAAGATGATACCTATAACTCTACATGCCCAAAAATTGACGAGAGCCTGATTCTACCACGCTGCCTCACATTACAGTCGAGCCTGTGTAAGATGGAATCGCAAGTGAGCCAAACAAAAGTATGTCTTATACCGTCAAACCTGCCTGAACAGAAACCTATCGTGGCGCGCAAAAAATAAAAATGTACAGGAATGGAAATTCCTTAAATACCAAACGAAATAAGTCATTTGTGAGCCATTTCCCTGATTTTGATCCGCTGATTCTGAATCTGGTATTATTTGTTTTAAATCTACCACGTGATTTTCTATAATTTTGAGATTAGTTCCGTTGTCCCCGGCGCAGCAAAGTGGGTGGTTGGTGGGTGCTCTGGTGTGGTTTGCTCCTTCTTTCCTATGAAACATCTATCGTCCTTATCTCCCTTCCTTCTTTTTTGTGTTTGTTACTCTCTTGTAACACCTCTAATCTTCGGCACCTATATGACCTTATTGTGTTGCAAGTGCCGTAAAACTGACTAGAACTAAAGGCGCAGCAAACTTCAAAGGCCGGATGGCCGGACGTCAAATTCACAGGCAGCGGCTGTGGGGTTTTCTTCATCCGGCCGGCCGGCCATTCGACGGATGTTCACCTACGGTTTGAGCCGCATTTCTTATTACACGTTACGATTGGCCGTACGGCCCAGAAACCTGTCCTGTCGGCCTGTACGTGTAATAGGCCCTTAAGACTCTGGCCACACTGCAAGCAGAGCGGGAACAGCAGAGCATAGCAGGGGAAATTACTACAATGACAAAGAGGTGACTGGCGGTGCGACTGGAGGCAGGTCAAGCGCAAAGATGGCGGTTTATTTATTGTCGCTAGCTTAGCTCGAAATTTGCTCGCGTCTGCACGCACGTTGTTGTTAAGTGTCAATAAAAGAAATAGATAAAAATCAAAGAGAGAAGGGGGAGAGGGGGAGAGAGAGGAGAGAGAGGGGGAAGAGAGAGCGAGGGGGGGGGGTGAGTGTAACAATTACAAAAAAGGAGAAAGAAAGTACATGACAGCTTGGAAAATGTACATGAAAAGCAAAGCAAACTATTGTAGAGACTTGACAGAACGTCGGGTTGTGACTAACTTGTGACAAAGCACAGACAAATTGATTAAGGTTTATTTAACAAGCACCTTATATATAT